TCTCTCCTTTTCTGTCTTCACCTCACTTGGACGTAATGACCACTCTCTTCTCTTTGTTAGCCAACTGGACCAAGCCCTTTAACCCTGCGGATACTCACAAAAGCTTCCCCTTCCTGGTGGACAAGCAGACCACTGTGCGCGTGCCCATGATGCAGCAGAGGGACACATTTGCTTTCGGGGTGGATCCAAAGCTCAACTGCTCTGTGCTGCAGATGGACTTCAGGGGGGACACCGTGGCCTTCTTCATCCTCCCTGGTGAGGGCAAGATGAGGCAGCTGGAAGAGACGCTATCAGCCAGGGTGGTGAGAAGGTGGAGCCACTCACTCCGGAAGAGGTGGGCATTTGTGTCGGCTGAGGGGACTTGAATGAGGTGACGGGGCACAGCCAAGGGAAGAGAAGAGGAGCACTGTGATAACAGTTGTTAAATAACCAGGTCTGCGAGTTGAGCGTCCATTGCACACGATCGGTGAGCCTGGCATTGCGCATGCGTGCTCACACCGGCGCCCCACCAGCACCTGATAGGGGAGGGGTGTCACCGTCTCCTTCTCACCACACCTCACAGATAAAGAGTGGTTCCTTGCAGGTGAGGGGACTTCCAAGGTCGCATCATCTCAGAGCTTTCTTAGCACTGTAGCTGCAGGGCGTGACCAGAGCGCACTCCAGGATCCAGTCTGTTACCGACTTACACGGGAGGGTTTTGTAAAAGCAAACAGACAAACAAGCAAAGCGTTGGTTTTCACTTACAAAATTGGGATAGTGATATTGCTGAACATATCAATGGATGCCAAGATAAAATGTTTCTATTTACAAAGTACTTCAACCGGGAGAGTGGGTAGTCAGTAAATGTTAGCAAACGTTTGCTTTTACAGAATCCTTCCACGCAAGTCGATAGCAGAGGGTCTTCTGTTAGTAGTTGTTAGGGAAGACATGGAAAGGGTTGAGTTACGCAATGGCAAGAAATACCGAAGCCTTGTTTTTAGTGTCTCAGCAATGTTTTTCTTGGCAGCAACAGCATCGTGCCAAGGCGTTTGCACTCCGGGAAAAGATAGGATTGAGAATAACTGTCATCAAAGAATGCCAATGGCCACTGTCCCGGGGAGGGCAGGCAGTGTGGAGGAGGAGCCGCTGAGCAGGAAACCACGTTCTGCTGGGAGTGTGGGAGGCTTTGAGGCGATGGTGATAGCGTCTGAGGTCCTTTCAAGTGGCTCAATTATTAATTTAAGTATCAGTGGAACACGGAGGACATTTTTGGTAAAGGAAGCACACACGAAGATGCACAGCTAGGGACCCCGAGGTTCTGCCGCACAGCTCTGGGGGTCGGGAGGCGAGGCAGCGGGACTGCACAGGGCCAGAGCACAGAGCAGAAGGGAATCCCAGAGAGGATGGAGATGCCCCTGCCGGCGCTGGGGACCAGGACAGGAGGGAGCTGTCTGTGGTGTTTTTCAGATGAGGACTGCAAGGCGTTCCTTGGAAACCTTCATCTCTGGGCTATCACTGATCTTTCCGATCTGCGAGGGGAGGGCCGGTTGCTGCTGCGCATGCCTAGGACGCAATCTGCGATGCAGCGCATGCTCAGTGCATACAGGCAGGTTGCGCTTGGTTCAGAGAAATGGGTGCGGAGGAGGAAAACATCACGCCAAACCCTAGGGCCACGCTGCCTAACACCGCGGCCACCGCTGTGTGTAGCTATTCAAGTTCCAATGGAGCAAAATTAAAAGTTTAGCTTTTCTTTTGCACTGGTGATGTTTCCGCTTGCTCGGCTGCCAAGCGTGGCTGGTGGCTGCCATATGGACGGCATAGGGAGAAAAATATGCCCAGAGTTGCAGAGTTCTGTTGGGCTTGGCTCCTCTAGGGATTAGCAGAGTTCAGGAAAGGCTGCTGTGGTGACTCCAGAAGGAGGTACAGATAAGATCCCATCATGCTCCAGTGCCTTCCATGGGCTCTGCCCTGGGCTCCCTTGCTGGGCCACCTTCTCACTTCTGCCCCCTGTTTCATTAGGGAATCCACTGGTGTCCTTGCCTGCCTTTGGTGCTGGGCTTGATTAGCCGGGAGATGGGCTGAGATACACAAGCCCCTTTAGCAGCAATTTGGTACCTGGGGAAAGAGCGCGGCCTTCTGAGATGCCACCTAGAGGGAGAGCTAGAGACACCAGGGGCTTTGACCTCACCTTTTCCCTCTCCCTTCTCCACAGGCAGATAGAGGTCTTCCTCCCCAAATTCTCCATTTCTGCCTCCTACGACCTGGAAACCATCCTCCCAAAGATGGGCATCCGTGATGCCTTCAACAAAAATGCTGACTTTGCTGGAATTACAAAGACAGGCTTTCTGCAAGTTTCCAAAGTGAGTTGGTTGGGGGGAGATAATTTGAAAAAAAGCCCATGCTGGAAACTCCCATAGAACTGGCTGGTGGAGAATGGAGGGCTCTCATTTCACTTGAGGTAGAAAGAGAAGCCCGTGAGTTAAAAAGATTTCTTGGTGGCCTACAGAAAGGCCAAGTCCCACAGCTGCTAGGCCTCTGGAAGACCATCTCCTCCCATATGGGTCTATGGCCACCATATCTCTAGCTCAAAAGCACCTCTCACCCTTCTTAAAACAAACATTCTCAAGGCCCAGCTACAGCTTTGCCTTGGGAACTCACCACCCTTCCTTCCTCCCTATGGCTTCAGTCCCCACAGACACCATCAAGAGGTTGCCTGTGACCATGGTGGACATGGTACTTGGTCTTCAGTGCTGAGAGGAAGAGGGACAAGGATGGGGAGTAGGGGGTGGGGAGGCAGGAAGAGAGAGAGAGAGAGAGAGAGAGAGAGAGAGAGAGAGAGAGGTGTTACTCAGTTCATTCTCCTGAGCGAAGCCCAACTCCAACACAGCCACAGTCACCAGGGCTGAGCTGTGTGTGTCTTTTTGTGACCACATGTCCCATGTCCTGCAGGTCACCTGGTCTCTGGGGGGACTTGGCTTGCTCTCATCCACATACAGCCTTCTGATCCTTAACCTAAAGTCTTAATTTGATGCTGGATAAGAAAGTAGTAGTCTGGGGCCACCATAAAAAAACTTTTCATCATTGGCCCTCCGGCGAAGGAATGCCATAAGGGTCCCAGTGGAATAGACTGAGCAGAATGGACCTTCCCCCGAGGAAAGACTTACATGCCCCTAAGGAAAATCATGCCTGTGGTCACAGAAAGTCCCTAAGCCCCTGAAGCTCTGAAGCATGAGTCCCAGGTCAAGAACCTCCTCCCTGGAAAACAAGGATGATCAGCCTTTGGTAGGCCCAACCCAGGTAGCAGTGTCACCACAGGAGCCACTGGTGTTTGTTTTTCCCTCATCAGGCTACTCACAAGGCTGTGTTGGACATCGGCGAGGAGGGGACAGAGGCAGTAGCAGCCACCGCCACCAAGCTCATAGTCCGATCCAAGGATAATCCTTCTTTTCCTGTTATAGCCTTCAAAAAGCCCTTCCTGACAATGATTACGAGCAAAGACTTAAGTGCTATTTTCTTCATAGGGAAGATTAAGAATCCCTCCGAAGCCTAGAGTGGACCTGCCCTGTCGATCAATTGTCCACAATAAAGATGCACAGGAAGTAACCACACCGTGTGCCTCTACAGTGGCATCCAGACCCACCTCCTCCCAGTCTATGGGTCCACCTCACCCCAGCATACCTGCTGTCCTGGTGGCAGTGCCTGTTCCAAGGCACAACATCACAATGACAACAGAGGTCCTGGTCCCAAGCCCCAGCCTGGGAACCCAGGCAGCGTGGCCTTTTCTATCAGCCTCCTACCACCTTCCTGAAACACAGCTGGGCTGGTAGCTCCATTCCTCAGAACACCAGAAGGATGTCATGCAGAGCAAGTAGCTTTATTGCAGAATTATAGGAATGCATTCAGAAACCTCAGATGTGAGACTAGCCACAGCAGGGTTCCCTTGTACCTGCAGGCTCCCGATTTGATTGATGGAGGAGATGTCACCCTAAGACATCTCAGCAGCTGTGTGAATTCATTCGTCATTTGTTCAACAACAACCCATCCAGCATTGCCTGCATGCTAGGAGTCAATCAGATGAGTGAAGTACCAGGATGTTGGGCCTGAATAGCGAAGGCAGGTCACCCAAGAACAATAGATGAAATCCACACATAAGCAAGAAATCAGTGGCTTAGGAGACACACCGTAAGTGCATCCTGGGATTTGAGGGGGAGTCCCAGGGGTCAGGGCAGCGCTGCTTGAGCACAGAGGCAGTGAGCCAGGAGTGAACTGGGTATCAGAAGGGACAGAGAAGATGCCTTGGACATCATGTGTCACACACACAATGACAGAAGCCAAGACAGAAGTCTAAGGAAGTAGATTGTGGGGGTAGGACATGATGGCCAATGAAAGTGGTCCAGGCTTGGGGTTGGGGAACAGAAAGCCAGCTGGACGCCTTTGGCAGGAAAATGACAAGGCCCTGAGGATGGGTCGTGAAGGCATCCCTAGCGCTGGCCACCTTTGTAACTGAGTCTGTCACACACGCACATGTGCACACAGCCCTCTGGGTGCTCGGCTCTTTCTGTAGTGACAATAGTCTGGCTCCCTTTTCTGTGTCTTAAGAGCCACAGTCAGTCTTAGGCTATGGTGACCCCTAGGCTGGGGCAGCTTCCTGTGCTCTTTGAGCTGTGTCCACCTCCCCCTTTCCCCTGCACCAGGTCGCCATGTCTCCTCTCAGCTGCAGGGCATCTGCTATGCACCTACAGGCCTAGAAAATCCTTCCTTGGGCATCAGAGTTCTACTAGCCCCAGATGTGCCATCTGGGGCTTATGCTGGCTTTCTACATGGAAAGGAGCAGAGGGCAAGGTCGTGCTGGCACCTGGCAGGAGCTTCAGAGGTGCTGAGTTTCCACACTCACTTCCCATCCTGTCTAGTCCACAACAAGCTGAGCAGGGGCTCCAGGCAGGAAGACGGATGGCTGGCCCAGGCTGCAGGCTGGCAGGATCGGGATTAGAACCAGGGGCGGAGCCCAGGCCCGAGAGGCTACAGCCACGACTGAGCTTCCTCCATGAGGAGCCCGGGAGAGGACAAGCCACCCTACCTCTCAGAAGCCCGGTGGGTGGCGCAAGGCTCGGTGCTGATCTGTGCGCGCTGGCACACAGGGAACAGCAGGCATGAAGATCTGGCTGGGGACACCAGGGTTGCTCAGAGCGAGTCCTTTCTAGTGACCCTCAGAAGCACCTTGGTGGGGTGAGAGAGGTCACCACCTCCGCCAGCCTTCTTGCAGGTGACATTACAGTGGCAGGCAGGTGCTACTCTTTGGGACACTTGTCAGCCATCAGGGGCAGACCCAGCCGCAGACCAGGTTCCCCTGTGGGGAGGCTCCACACAGAGTTGCATAAGACACTTATCTTGTCTGTTTTCAAATGTACCTTGTGGTTGCTTGGAAATTTGTTGTAATTAGGTATAGTAGGACGTGAGCCAGAGTCAATTGTTTTTGGAGAAACATCTGTCACTTGGATTACCCAAGAGGAGAAGACTCATCACCCCACACAGCAGCACTTGGGAGCAGACAGGGGAAGGTGTAGGTATGGGGCCACTGGGACCGCTGCAGTGAGAGGGAGAGGGTGGGAACGCCCCCTACAGGACAGGAAGTGAAACAGAACTTGGGGCCTGCAGTTGGAGGGGTATAAAAAGGCTCACTCTCTTCACTCTGTTGGTGGTTTCTTTTGCTGTGCAAAAGCATTTTAATTCGATGAGATCCAAATTGTTGATTATTTGTAATATTTCCTGTGCAGTTGGGGTTTTGTTCATAAAGTCTTTGCATATAGATAGATAGATAGATAGATAGATATAGATATATCTTCAAGGGCTTCCAGCAGATTGTTTCTATTTTAATATTTAGATCTTTGATCCACTTTGATTTTAGTTTAGGGAATAGTGAGGAGAAAATCTTCTCAGCTACTCCTCAGACAAAGGACTAATATCTAAAATATGTAAAGAGTCCCTAACAGCAGCCCTCCCCAAATTTAAAAACCCAATCCAAAAAATGGGCATCTGAAATAGATACTTCTCTGATAAAGAAGTACAAATAACAAAGATATAAAAATGTGTTCAGCATTACTGGTCATTTGAGAAATGCAAATTAAAACAACACTGAGACTCCATCTCATTCCATAAAGAATGGTGATCACCAAGAAATCATCCAATAACAAAAGCTAGCAAGGCTGTAAGGAAAAAAGAACACTTCACCATTATTGGTGGGAGTGTAAATTGGTAACCGCCATGGAAATCAATATGGAGATTTTTCAAGTAACTAAAACTAGGGCCAGGGATATAGCTTAATGGTCCAGTGCCTGCCTGGAAAATGCAAGGCCCTGAGTTCAATTCCTGGTATGAAGGAGAAGGAGGAGGTAGAGAAGGAGGAGAAGGAGGAGGGGGAGGGCTGGGAGGAGGAAGAAGGGGGAAGGAGGAGGGGGAAGGAGGCGAAGAAGAAGGAGAAGGAGAAAAAGAAGGAGAAGGAAAATGACAAGGAGAAGGAGAAGGAGAACTAAAAGCAGAGGCAGCGGTCCATTTCACCAGATGGTCTCCTTCTAGGCATTTTCCTGAAATCACAACGAGCATCACACCACAAGGATATCCACATCCCCATGTTCATATAGTAATGTAATTTGTAATAGCTAATTCCTGGAAATAGCTCATATGTCCATCAGCAGATGAACAGATAAAGAAAATGTGGTAGTTATATACAACAGAGTACTATACTGCCATCAAGAAGGATAAATGACACATTTTTAAATAAATAACTGCATCTAGAGACCGTAATTGTAGGTGAAATAAATCAGACACACAACTTCAAATATCATGGTTTCTCTTGTGTGAGAAGCCCAAAGGATAAATGAAGATAAAAATGAAGCACAGCGGGGCTGGGGAGATAGCTCAGTAAAATAAGTGCTTGCCTGGCAAGCGCAAGTGCCTGAGCTCAATCCCTGGTTCCATCAGAAAAATAAAAAATAAATAAAAATGAAGCACAGATACTGGGAAGGAGGAAGAACACGTGAACTGGGAAGGGAAACAGGGAAGGAGAAAAGGAAAATAGGGAAAAAGAGATGCAAAGAAGAGAATGAAAGGAAAAGTGGAAGCAAAGCTTTTGTAAATGGGAAGGAGATGAGGCATTGAAGGGAGGAGAAGGGAAAGGGGAAAACTATTAATCTGTTATGTACAGGTACAGATTCTCCATGGTGAATATAATCATTATGTGTGGGAAACTATACTAATAAAAATAAAATTAAACAAACATTTTAAAAGGGACATACAGGGGGGCAGAGGGAGATTCTCTCAAGGAAGTGGTGGTGCATGCCTGTAATCCCAGCACCCTGAGAAGCCGAGGCAGGAGGATTGCAAATTCTAGCTCAGGGGAAATGAGTGAGATCTTGTCCCAAAATTTAAAAAAGGACTGAGGGTGTAGCTCAGTGATAGGGTCCTGGGTTCAATTCCCATCACTGCAGGGAGGGTGGGAAGAGGCAGGAGAGAGAGGGAGAGAGAGAGGGAGACAGACAGTCAGACAGACAGGCAGACAGACAGACAGACAGAGCAGAGCAGACAGAGCAGACAGAGCCAGAGAGAAATTGGAAACAATAGTGGCTATTAGTTTGTCCCATGACTTCAAGATGCCAAATATGAAGAATAGTCATTACAGTGTGGCATGAGCCTTCCACTCCAGACAGAGTGACACCATTCAAAGGGTGGATTCACCTCACATGGTGAAAGCAAGGTGATACAAACCTCCAGAGGGATCCATGAAAGCAAGCACGCCAGGCGCAAGTCCCGACCCTGAGGCCTGGGGCCGCACGCTGTCTCTAGCCAGCCTTCTCCACAGCTCCCGCCCCCGGGAGTGTACTTCCCAAAGGCTAAGGAGCGCTGCAGGGTCTCCGTTGCTCCAGGATCCAGGGCTGGTGAGGAACCTCCCTGAAATGTAGGCACAACCAGACCCCGCCACCTCTGTGTAGGCGTGTTTCAAGGTGCGCCTCAGACCTTGTGGGCTGAGCCCCCCAGGCACAGGGTGTGTAGACTTTCTGGGTGGGTGGGATTTCTCCACCTCACCCACCACAATGGGAGAACCTGTCTGCAGGTGTTTTATTAAACCAAGCACACGGCATGGAGCAGAGTCGGGCGGGGGCCAGGGCTTAGCACAGAGCGCCTCCTGCCTGGCAGGAGGACAGGAGGAGCAGGTGCAAAGGTGACAGCCCGGTCAGGCCTTTCTCTAAGCTCCAGAACAAGATACTATGTGGATCAAAAGCATCACTGGGGTACCAGCACCGAGAGGCCCCTGAGGTCAGTGTGATCACCCCAACAGTGCCCTGCCCCACAAGACACAGGCAGAAGCAAGGGTGTGTGACCTCAAGGACCTCACATGCGAGATGGTACACAGCATGGGACAAGGGACAGGAGCACTGAGGTCAGGAAGGAGGGCTCCAGTGGTCTCTAGTCTGGAGGCCCAGGTTGGAAGCCATCCAGCTGACCTGGTGGCCTTTGCCTGCTCTCTGTCGGCCTCACTTCCCTCGGAAAGCTCCTAGCTCCTGCGTCACTAGGTTGTC